TAAAAACTACTCAAGTCAAAATTTTTTTTTATTTTTATAATTATAAACTTGGAGCCTACAAAATATAAAACTATTGAAACTGTTTATAGAACTAAAATATCTTGTTTTTTTTAACCACAAAGTAGGTTATTATTATATTTTGAATTATATTATTTTATCAAATATTACCAATTTCAATATCTAATATATTTGTAACTGCCTTGATCTAATTATAGGTTATTTGATTAATTTAAATTCTTTAAGCACTTATTATTATTACTAATTCTTAATGAGCTGAGGTAGAAGAAATATATCTGGGAAAATAAGAGATTTAATTAATTTAATTATGGCAATAATGAGTGAATGTATAGAACATTTACGATGAGCAATTATTGCATTTATTAAACTTGCTTGTAATTTTTTTTCCTAATGAACATTTTATTATGACATTTATTAATAATGGTGAAATAGATTTGTCAATAATAGTATTGAATGTTCCAATTTAATTGAAAACCCCATTAATTTGTGGTATATCAGAATAAATTGTAAATCTGTTTATGGCTTCAAGGTCAATTTTTTAGGAAATTCTTACTGTCTAACAATAAACTGGTAGATACTAAGTATTGATTACGTAGGACATCCATGCCTTTTAATGTGTATGTTTCACAAGTCTATCCCCTAAAGTATTTATATAATTTACATGAATCAACTTTATAAGAAACTTTTGAGGCTGTATATGTATAAGTCCATCTAAATTATAAATAGTAGTCATTTGGATAATTAAATCCAATAATTGGAGTCAAGAGCCATTTATTGGTCAATAAATCAAAATCACCACTACTGTAAGAGGTACCTGTTACAGTTTAAAGTCCCAAGTTAGTAAAGATTTCGCTAGTTCCTAAGACAATTTAATATCCAATTTATTTAAGGTTTGCAAACTTTCCTGAAGGGTTTGATATCTCTATTGTAACATCAGTTTTTGTTATGCTTGATATCTAAGAATTATTATTATGCCAAATCATACTTATATAACAAAGTCAAGGGGACCAGCATAAGATAGACTTATAGGAAATAACATTCCTAATTCAGCATTTGCATTCAAGTGCTAATATATTTATGAAATTGTTGGATTATCAATATTAAAAGCGCTTATAACTTGAACTCGTTAATCATCGATCGCATACCATTAAAATTTCAACGTATATGTTCTTGTTGATGATGGACAATTTATTTACACCTTAAAATCTGAATTATAGTATATAATTACCTATTAAGGTGATAGATGTAATTAATAATCGAAATTCTGTATTCCCTTAGGTAATATCACCAATATTATGTTGTAAAAAGACTTGGGGAATATTTTCAAATTATCCATTAAAGGAAGTTGTCGTCTCTAATGTGTATTAATTTTAGCACACAAAGCCAGCCGTACTAGGATTAAAATTAGTATTTAGTCCTGAATCATACTTGATATATGCCATAGCAGATAAATATAGGTAAACAAGAAATTTCATTGCTTAAAAAATTATCAGAATCAAACTAATTAATTTTGTATTAATAGGCTCATTTTGATCAAATTGTTTATTTTTTATCATAAAAGAGGACCTAACTTAGGTGTTACAAAGAGTATTTCAGAAACAAATTTAGAGTATATAATACATTTAAAAAGGAATTTCCAAAATATATTGCAATTAATATACTTATTATAATAGAAAATGAAAGTTATTTAATCCATAGGATTAATGCAAGAATAATAATATAAAATTTCAACTATGAAATAATCTACAAAAAAAATCAAAAATCTTTTAGTTCAAACACAAATATCTAAAATAGATTTTACAGAATAACAAGCATCTTGATAATGTCACTACTCTAAACTTTTTTAAATTGATTTGTGGTTCATATCGGGTTGGAGAGATATAAAATTATTATTTAGTCATCAAAATTAATAATAAACTCAAAATATGTAATAAAATTAAAAGGTCATAATGATTGGATTAACTGCCTTGTGTTTTACTACCTCAACTATTCGAAGATCTCATTATTAGTGGATCAAAGGATTCTACAATTAAATTTTTGTGTATTTTTCATTATCTTTATGTGTGTAAACTTTAAGACTATTTAATTAATAAATTTAATCATTTTCAACATGTAATTTTAGAAACAAATTAATATCTTGCAGTGATAACAATTCGATATTAATATTAAAAGCATTAAGAAGTTATTTCTAATTTTTGATATAGATTATCTTTTATTAAAGATGAAACCTTGGTATTTTAACTTTATAGATAATTTAATTTAGAAATTTATAAATTAAAATATGATAACGAGAAATTTTTTAAAGTAATGGAAGTAGAAATTTAAGGAGGACATCAACCCTGTAATTATTATTTCCCTATGATCTATGGACCTTCGAAAAATTGTATTCTTGTTAAACAAAAATACAAATTGAATTTAATCAGGATAGTATATTTGACTGAAGAAGAAATTGCAAAGTGCAAATTGTAAGAGGTGATTGATTTCAAAAAAGTCTTATGGAGTCAAATACATGGAACAATGAGTCAAGATGGATAGTTCTTAATAACTTGGGATTAAATCTCATATTTTTCAAATTAGAGAATATGGTTTCAATCCATAATAATATTAAAATTTTCTATATTTACAATTGTTCTATCTATAAATACTACCTCAAATTATTTTAAGTCAAAAAAAATTGTTATATCAATTTCTCTTGAACCTTTGATTAATAGAAATAGCTTCCAAAAATCAAAAATTAGATTTTCATCTTATCAACTTTATAAATATTAAAATCATTTTTATCATTTAGAATAAACAGTATGAATAATATCATCAACAAATACATAAGTTAAATATTATTTCTACTTTTATATTATATTTATTAATTTGAATAATTTAATATTTTAATCTCTATTATTATAAATCTAGTTAATTAATAATTAATAATTAAATGCATAAATTTATCTTTATAAATAAGCTAATTAATTATGATAAAAAACTTTTTTTTGATTTAAATATATTGTTTTAATATATTCAAATTTATGAATAATCTCTTTTTCATCCTATAGGCATGAATTACAATACAAAAAAGAAATGTTTATGTTAATCTTTAATCATATTTATTAGAGGATCTAACTCATTAGTATGACTATTATTTAAAGAATAAAATTTAAATCTTTGATTGCATTTTCAGAATTAATATCACCATAAATTGAGAAATAAAAAGTTATTTGGTTTAAGAGATAGATCAATTAATTTTTTTAACTTAATAAATATTTCTAGGTTATAATAATTCATTAACTATTTCAAGCTAAACGATTTGCTGTTTGGTTCATTTCTGCTTTTCCGTTTTCAAACATCAATAATTATTACTATTTTAGCTAATAGAATTCTGTAGTTTAAAAGTATATAAATTTCATCATAAAAGCTAAATATTTGGAAACTGACTGAATGCACCTTCACTTACATCTTTATTAAAATCTAAATTTTCTTTTTTTAAAAAAGCTAAATGTCTCATTAAAGGACCTATTTAGACAGGAAAAATTATATAATACTATCCAATAGATTCCTTGATAAAAAGTATCAGCTTTGATTTATACAACATAAGGAAAATATGAAGTACATATATATTTATGATTTGTAAACATAAAAACCAAAATGAATTGTAATAACAAAAACAATATGAAAATTGATGAAGCCAAAATTAAATACTTAAGATAGAGTAGTAAGAAGAAATATATATGTTTAATTCTTTAAGTTTTATCATCACGATTCATTAAATATTGTTTTGAAGATGTAAAAAGCATAATTATTTTACCAGCAGAAGTTTAATATTATATATTTTGAATTTATAACATCCAAAATATGAAATGGTAATCTATACTCATTTCACATGATCCTAATAGTTGCAGAAAGATGAGACAATTAAAGATTTTATTTTGAATATTATAATTATTCATATCTCATTCTTCTTTATACTTCCATACTTGTATTAATTTCGATTCAAAATCCCATGTAAATAAATATTCACCATTATTACTTGATACTCCATAAATCATATTTGTAGAAAATTCAATAGAATACTCTTAAACTTTCTCTAAATTTGAAGAAAAACTTATAAAATTTACACAAGACCCATTTTTATTTATTAATATTTATTTTGATTTTATCATTTATTAAGGAAATAAATTATTAGAACAACTGCCTATTTTTACTTGTATCTCTTTAGTTTTGATATAATTAGAATTCTTCAACTCGTATATTTCAATTTTTTTACTATACTAAGGTTAAATGCAAAATGTATCATTGTTAATAAAACTAATTCCAAGCCCAAATGATTAAACAGAAATCACTTATTTTTAAATCCAACCCTTTTCTTCAACTTAAAAAACTATTATTTTATTATCTTTCCCGCAAGAGATTAATTGATTTGATGTTTCATTTATAGCTAAACTAAATACAGAGTCAGTGTGGCTAGAGATAGTTTACTTGCATAACCATTATTTTTTTCCTTGCAAAATTTGTGCAATTTTATTTTAACTACACCTCTCCCAAATTCTAATTGTTTTATCTTTACTCCCAGATATAATGAGATCATCATTGCTAGATAGTATTAAACAATAAACAGAGTCCAAATGCTATTTTAATTTTTGTTGACAAAGCCATTAAAAAGTTTAATTTCTTTTCCATAATATTATGGTTTTGTCCTCACTCCCTGATATAAATGAATCAGATGGTTTCATAAAAGCTAGGCATAAAACATCTTTTTAATGCTCATTTAACATTTATACTTCTATTACTATTTCATCTCTAATTTCGAATATCCTAATTTATTGTTTACAACTAGCAGCCATGATAGATAAATCTAAACTGATAGCAATCGCGTAACAAAATTCTTTCTATTTTACCGAGCAATCTTTAAGTGACTAATATTTAAAACTGCTTTATTTCTAATCTAATTATTCTATATAACAGGAAAGTTTTATTTCAGGAACTTGATCTTCCAATAAAATAAACGTGTTTCTAAAGAGAAAATCATAACTTCTACTTTTGATTTATATTGCCAAAGAGCGAATATTTATTTGTTTTTATTTTCAAATTCATTCATATGATTAGATCTACTAAAAGCTTCAACAATTTCATTCAATCTTTCTTTTTTAATTTAAGACCAAATTTCTGATTCCTATTATTTTGACTTTCTTAATTGTTCTAACTAACTTTAGGAATTGTTATTTAATTTATTTCTATATTATTCAATTAAAGCATTGATCTCAAACTAAAACTTATTAAGATTTTAATTTTCCTACTAACATGCTTCATTAAATACTTATATTTTCCCTTTCTAATTAAGAATAATTTTCTTTATTGTTATATCTACCATTCATCTTAGAATGTTTCTATTCTCATATATTAACAGGGATATTCCTCTACACAAGTCAAACATGCTAATCTTCGAGGTACTAAACTTACTTCACTTAAATGTACCATTTTTATTTAACTTTGATGAATTTCACATTGTACATTATTGAGTTTATCCTAATTTTCTTGTGTTAAATTTTATAGGATCTCTTATGATAACTTGTATTTTTCTATACCAAACTAATTTATATATTGTTCTAAGTTATTAACTTTATTTGAGGAGTTTAATATGACTAAATTTTTTAACAAAATTTCTTTTATTTCAGCATAATTTGGTAGATAGATTTCAATTTCTTAATATTTCAAACAAAATTCAATTTAGTTATCTAAAGGAATTTCTTAGATTTTTTAATGAATTATTCCCATCTATATTTAGATGTAGTCTATATATTAATCAATATTTCCAATATATTTGTCTATTGATTCTATTAGCTAAGACTTAAATTATTTCACATTTTCACTTATTTGTTGGAGTTTAATTATATTATTTTCCATTTCTTCTACATTTTCCTTATTTATCATTGATAAAATTCGTTAGAGTTATTCGGGAACATCAAAGATGATCGAACTGTTTCGTGATTCAAAATCTTTTTGTTTAAAGGAACTTCTATTATAAGAATTTTCGGATAATGAACTCTAAAATCTCTCAAATTAGATAAAGCTTTCTTATTTCTCGAAGTTCATTTTTAAATTAAATATCTCTTTTTATTAGTATTTTCAAATATATAAAAAAAAGAATGAGAGAACATCTCTATTTAAAATGAATTTCTTATAATTCAAATAAATAAGGAAAGAGAATGAAATAATTAAATCAGATAAAGAAATTATTAATTCATTAAACTATTGAATCTATCCATCATGGATTGGGATCAATTTTTAATAAATGATTTTTAAATTGAATCCTTCAAATAAAATAATCAATCTCATTATTAATGTAATATAGATAAAGAAGCTTACTGAAAACTTAATAAGAAATTTGTTAATTTGTAAATAGAATGATAAATATTGAATAAGAATTGATGTTGAGAAAAGTGCTTAAGGAGATATATGATATCTATGAGAATATTTTAATAGTAAATGTAACTATTATCCATGATTTTTTGAAGCGTGATTATATATATAACCATTTTTATTTAATTCAATCAAAATTCATTCTCTAATAACAGTTTTAAAGAATCTATAATTTAGAATTTTATTACTAAAATTAATATTTTTCTCCTATATAACAGAAGAAAAGTTACAAAATTAATTAATTGATAATATGAAATAGAATCAAGGTACTAATTAAACAGTTAAAATCATACCAAATTAGTTATCAAAGGCAATTTGATTATTCCTATTTCATCAATTATAAGTATACTTCATTAGTAAAAAATCTTCTTAATGATTATTGAATTCAATTAATGTTTAAAAATCTTAATCCAAGAAAATTAATTGAATTAGATTTTGCTTAACATACCAGAGACTTATTTATTCTATTTTTAAACCAAATTCTAACGAAGGAGGATAGAATTTTAGTAAAAATATTTTGCTGAAGTAATAAATTGAGTAAAGCTAATGATACCTATGCCGTTGAAATGCTTTCAAAATTGATCATCTATCATTATTATATAATTCATCTACACAAAAAATAAAACACAAGTGATTCTGTTTAATTGAAAAATTGTATTAATCTATGATATTAATCTTAATTAAAATTTCAACACCTTTATAAATTATTTAGACCTTGTAAGAATAAAATTATCAAAAAAGAATCTTTTCGTAAGACTTCAGACATTAAAACTATGAACTGTTATAATAATCGTATTTAAAAAAAGTGATAAACAAGATATCAGAAATAAAATCAATGAAATATCTACTAGTCTGATGAGATAATTAAATAAATCAGGAATTAAATTTTCTGTTGAAATTATATCTTTATTTAATCCAATTATTGATTGTTTATTTTATACCGCTATTTCTTAACCTCAATTTGAGATAGAGTTGCTACTTGCTTTCCGGTTACTCCACAATTTCTGCGATTTCAATTTGATTAAAGGTTTTAATTCTTCTTGAAGAATCCTTATTATTTGTAATTGCTTAAGGGACATTATTTTATTGAAGATTAAGTCTAACGAAAGATATCTTATTTGTTTGAAGGTTCGACCCTTAATTTAAAATATTGGATTGACTGATTGAAACACTCATGTTATTAGCTTTAAATTCTTTTTCAGAAAATTTCATTTATTTTGCTTACAAATTCAAAAAGGGATATATTTCTGTTTCAGAATAATTATTTTTGAATTAATCTCTTTTCACCAACCTTTTAAGCTGTATTTATTATAAATATTATTTAAATCGATCGGATGAAATATTTTTTAGATTAGTAATACTATTAACTCTTAGTTGTTTTGGATGTCTCAAATATGGTAATGATATGATATCCTATCGTTATTTTTTAATTATCGGATCTCTTTCGCTTAGATTCTGATTTTAAATCTCCGTTTTCAGTTAATCGTACCATAGTTCATTCATTTATTATAAATTACACAATTATTAATATACAAAAATCAAATAGTGATTGTAATTGAAACTATATCCAAAAAATAATATTTAACTCCTTAATGAGAATATTAATTATTGCTTCATTTCCACAAATATATAATACTATAAGGTTGTTACTCTATTTATATAGATAAATCAATATGTTCATTTTAATATTATTAAAATACTCATGATTAAACTACATAAACATATTCTAATGAGAATGGTATTACCTGCTGTAGCATTTTGCACATTTGTTCCAACTGATTATTCGAACATTGAACATTTTCATTCAATCAAATCATCTTTCAATAAAAGTAAAGTTGAGTATTACAGCTATAGATAAATTTGAAGATATCTACGATCAATTATCAGGATAAGTGTAAAACTAATTAAATTATAATGAATTCAAAGAAACTTTATAAACAATTAAAAAGAGAACAGGTCCCATCTAATATTGGTCATATTCTGCTCCAAATCCAACCTCTCCTGCTGTAATTGTTGCATTTCAAAATAACTTAGCACCTGGGTTAATAACATGGGAATATGATGATACAAAATTCAAAAAATTTATTATAGAAGATTACAGTTAACCATCCTCCCCCTTTAACACCCGGCCGGTTGAACTTCGATCCGTTCTG